TTTCCTCCAGCTCCTTGATCTCTCTTCTTCCGCCGTGGACCGTCATCTTCCACCTAATCCCTGTTAACAGCTAGCTCACTGCCATCTAGTCCAGGGGTCCTCAAACTTTTTAAATGGGGCCAGTTCAATTCCTATGCACACTGCACATATCTTATTTTGAAATAAAAAAACAAACAGGGCAAAAACACCCGGCGGGCTCCATGTGGCTTGCGGGCTGTAGTTTGAGGATGCCTGATCTAGACCATACCAACTCCTAGCTGGCCTTATGTAGGGTTTCCAAGGTGGTAAATCTTTATGGGAGCAGTTAGCCTCCTCTTTCACCATTGAAGCAGCTGTGTGTGCTCCAGCCCAGCTGTTAGCAGTCAGCGCTTACGCGACAGTGCCACCAGAGCTCCCTACAACACTGCATAGGGATTCTTCTTGCATTGCGAGGAAGCAGAGGTTCAGAGAGCTTTGCTCTAGGTCACATGGCAAGTAGATGGCAGACTGCAGACTTGAACCCAGGCCTATTGACTCACAAAGCCCAGCCTTTCAATGATTATAGTGTGCTGCCAGTGTTCTCTTTATGGTAGCCAGAAAAGGTGCCAGCTCTAGAGAAAAGAGGCCTTCTTTTCAGTCAATGCAATACTTACTACATAGGATGGGGCCTTTTTACCTCACCATTTTCTTGTGTTCCTCCCACCTGTGAGATTGTTTTCTTTATCACCTTCTTGGTACACTGATTCTCAGTGTTCTCCTTTCTGATCTATCAGGGAGAGAGTCGCTTCCTCCTCTCTAGTCCCATGTTACTTTGTGGATCTTAGTACTGTGAGGATATAGTACATTATGCTTTTATCCAAACTTACTTATCTGCCTCCCAGATGTTGAGAGTACTTGCTCGATGCTTAGCCAAGGTTGACAGGCCATTAAGTTTTACCGATGATTGTAGGTGTTCCTATAAATTAGAATGTTCTCATTATAAGCAATAGAAATTGATTCTGGCTAACTCAAGCCAAAGGGAAGGGTGTGTAGTAGCTCACTGACTGAAAGGAAAAGATGAAGCGCAGTGAGGGCAGGAGACGTTAAAGCCCCAGGGACCCAAGTCTCTTGACCGTACTTTACTGCAGGGATGTGCACTTTATCTTAGACTGAGACCCTGAGGACGAGGCCAAGGAGCTCCTTGAGACCCATGTGCTAACCCCTCAACATCTTGAAAAGGCATTTACATGGATGTATCTGCCATGGCTATCTCCAGGGAGGGAAAGGTAACTCCCCAAAAGAAAAAGTCCAAGAAGGGGAAAAGACAGTAGGTAGCCCCCAAACAATAACTGCCCTTCATGGTGATTCTTCTGTTTCTGATGCAGATGCCTCCAAGATGTAGCTCTCCCATGACGGGGCCACCACCTTTGCCCCAGAAATCCCTGGAAACCAGGTAGGAGGTCTGAGCACTTCCTGGGGCTGCTGTGATCCCAGGCCCTGTCGGGAGAACCTAGCCATGCACAGTGATCATGGCCACCATCTCCTGGGCAGTCTGCCCTTTTGTTGTGGCAGTGAAGGCCTCAGTCATACCCCAAGGGAGCCCAGACCATGTCATGAACCAGTCTTAGCTCTCTTGGGTTAGTGCTGCCCTCTTCACAAGCTGAGGCCATTGTTGCTGAGACACAAGCTGGCAGAGGGTGGAGCCTCAGCGAAGAGGTGACTGCAGCTCATCCTCTAGTGTGTCCACCTTCTACTGGCTCCTTAAAGCTGAGAGAATATCCAGGATTGGGGTGGGGGGATGTCTGTCTTTTCCATTGGTCCCTCTGAAATGACTTTCCTGTTTTGCAAGCTCTCCAGAGAGGGCCATTTACTCTGCCATGGAAGTTAGTCTCATTGTTTTCAGGAAGCTTCACATCACAGTGTGCTGGCCTGTGGAGTCACCTGTCTGGTTCCCTCTAAAAAAAAAAATCTTCAAATTTCTGGTGTCATTTCTTTAGCACATATTTCCAAGCTGGGCCCCACGTAGGAAAGAGATGGCAGCTTTACTGCCAAGAGCAGACTGTCTTTCAGCCAGAGTGTCTGGACATGCCAGCCACAAACATGAGGGAGGCTTTCCCAGAACGCTGCCATCTCCAAAGCTAGCTGCAGACCGTGGCCTAGGTCCTCCAAGTCCACTGTCTAGAACTCATTGAGGCCTTTTGGTCCCCTGCTCCATTAGCCTGAGAGAAACATGAACATGTGTGAGAAGGTAGTGGGCCCGTCCTTCATTTCATGGAATAAAAAATGTGGTTAATGAGTCCACTCAAGAAATCAACTTTGAGGAACTAACTTGCACTGACCAGACTCACAAGAGACAAATTTGTGGACAGATACTGCTGTATCCATTCAAATGGAGAGATATGGCTGTCACGGAGCCTCGGATCCTTGTTCCGACTCTCACTGGGATCTTTGTTTCCTCCTCTGTGAAGCAGCCTTTAGAAAGCACAATTTTTCTGAGCAAACTGACTCGGAACAGAATCACAACCGAGGGGTATAGGACCCCAGGAGGGGGTGTTTTGGAGCGTGGTGGCCCAATGTACTTGTCTTCACTCTAAGAAGGCACCAGCTGCCTCCTCCCAGGGCAGCTCTGGGGTCCCACAGTTAAGGTGTAATCATACTTTCTTCTTGACTTGCAGACAGAGGTGGTCTCCTCCCAGCAATGAAATACAGTTGAGTGTATTCAGGCTTTTTAAGAAGTGTCTGGATCAAAAAGTGGATGAAGGGAGACGTCGGACAGGGCAAGATATGACAAAATAACCATTTATAAACTATCAAGGGCTCATG